CCATGGTAGGGGTGGACTCAATGATCTATGAGGTCTCTTTCAACCCGGTTTATTCTATGATTCTAAGAAAAAAAATAAAAATAAAAAAATCAAACCGACACTTTCTCTTTGCAAAAGGTGAAAGGTGGGATTATTTTGTCATGCACATCCTTAGTATGCCTGGTTTAGTCAATGGCATCCTATGCTTCTCCTTCTACTGTCTGCACACTGATCACACTCATTGTATTGTGACTTCACCAATGCAAGAAGCATAAACTGAAGAATAAAAGAACTCTTAATTCTCTATAAATAATATGACTATTAATAATGGAAAGGATTTAAAGAAAGGAACAAAATGCTGAAATCACAGCAAAGTGTGTATGAAATGATGGCAGTTATTATTCTAATTCTTTAATCCCAGATCACCTCAGGATTCTTATTCATAGGGACTTCTCTAATATACCTCAGCTGTGCAGCAGAACTTCATTCTTATTACTCCCCCTTCTCCCATCTCTCAGAAAAAGAAATGCACTTTTTCCCCTCCCATAGACTGCACACACCAAAAATTTCTACCTGTCACAGGCATTCGACATTTTTGGTACATAAAACATACGATTTGTATCATGTGCCTGTACAAAAAGTATGTCACAAATTTCATCAAGCACAGACTGGAGCCACAAACCATTCAATAAAAGACCTATTTATTAAAACATAAATAAATGAAGTGCATTACTACACAGACACAAGTTTCTTCAAAGACAGCTTAATGACATTGCCTTTTCAATCAAAAATGAATATTCATCACCAGTGTTACTATAGAACTAACAAGCTGCAAGCATTCAATTTTAACACAATTAGGTTGTTTCACCTTACCTCTAGTTTTCCCACGTCTTTTCCAGCCATCTTTCCTTCAGCACTGGTCTCTCTGCTATCAGCACTCACTGCAACACTCACTGAACACAGTGCTGCTGCTGGCTCTCAGAAAGCTGTACCCCCAAACACTGCTGTCCACAAACACAGTGAAAGTGGCACTCCAAGAGCATAAAAGCTGCTGCAATTTCCTCTCTTTACCTCACCTTTGTGGAACTCCTTTTGGATATGTCAAGCTGCAGCAATTTTCTACTCTTCACTCTGATGGCAAGTTCCTACCTATCCCCTGAGACCGAGCTGTCAGAAGGCAAAAACTGAACGACTGAACAGACAGGATCTCATCCATCACATTTTGAATCACGAAGATTCAGCACTGTCCCAGACAAACTCCATCCCTGGAAAACTTCTACAGCACTTGCAGAAGACAGTATAGCACAAACATGGATGAGAAGCCTTTTGTGAATGTTCACCCTCGTTCCTACATGCATCGTGAAGATTCCACTTTAAAATCTTTCAACATTTTAAGAAGTTGTGGGCCAAACAGCCTTAGCATGGAAATCAAAAGGCTCCCTCAAAGCCACCCCACCAAGAAACTGCTCTGTCTTTTCTCCAGTTGTGAGCAGTTTATCAGTACCACAGGTAGGAGACTTTTGGCTGATTCACAGAAGACATAATTTGTGAAGATAAATCCATAAGTGCCTTTGTTAAGTGATTTTCCTCATACCCTATTGGCTTCCCTGTACCACAAGGTATTCTCAGATATTTTCATGTAAAGCAACCAAGACACAAGCAGCAGAACATGCTTCCCAATCCACACCAATTCAGACAGGTTGAGCTACTAATCCTTTTTTGCATGAACACAGAAACATGAAGTCTTATTACCTTTGAGAACAGAAATGTGCTGGCGGCTTTCCCCGTCTGCTGAGTAGTTCCTGAATTCAATATCTTCTCCATCTTTCAGTTCAACCTTATCATAACCATACCAGCCAAGGAGCTCATTCATAGTGTTTTCTGCAAAGTTCTGAAAGAGAAAAATTACCTACTTATTTATGTAATCAATAACCATTTGGAAGGAAGGGAGGACTGCATAAATCGAACCGTATCTGTGCTACATGAGGAAGTGTCAGGTTTGGCCCACCTCCTCAAAGACTAATGTTCATTTCATAAGTCAAGTGCATAAAGTGAAATGCATTTAAATCTCCAACTGGCACATGTAATTATGACAGAGACTCATACATCTGTAATTTAAAGAAAATGAAAAGGAGAGTTATTTATGACTTTTGCTCTGACATTCAATGTCAGAAATATTTTAACATACATTTGTCACACAAACTTGCCGGTGTTGCCATAAAATATTTAAGACTGCAGCAAGAGAATAACAGAAAACCAGGAGTTTTTTTTCAACCAGCAGTTAATCAATCTTACTGCACTACAGCCTTTTCAGCTGGAGCAGGTCACTGACACAATTACAGTTCCTTGAGGTGCCCATGAACCAAATCAAATAAAATCACAGCAAAGACGTTTTCCCTCAGTTATAAACCCTTTCATAGTCAAACGACTTAAAAACTCTTCACCGTGAAAGTGCTTTACCACAGCATTTCATACCAACATCTCTTGTGTTTGTTTAAGAAAACCTTTCTCAGTTTTGCCATATTTATTTTTAAACCAATTTCCAAGCAACTGTGCGGTTACGTTTTCTGTTTTGTATGGAAATGCAAAGTATGGAACATGGCTGTCATAACTCTCCAATTCTATTACAAACATGTCCTCTAGGTCATGTGGCAAAAATATTTCTGTAGAAAATGCTCATTACTGGGCCAGGAGATTTAGTGGAGTAAGTTAAGAAATCTGCAGCCAGGCAACAAAGCTTTCTGAAACCAAATAGTGCCATGGAGCTCTACAGCTTACAGATTTAGGAAACTACCAAAGGAAACCAGCTAATGAATTATTGCAGTGGCAAAGATCAGTTTAAAGTAGTATGACAACTATAAATTGAAATGAAAAAGCCACACAAGGAGACTTTTATTTGGTCTCTGCACATTTTTTTTAATCAGCACTCTTTCAAAAAAAAACACTCCAACCTTCATATTTTGCAGGAACGTCTAAAACAATGTTTCTGATAAGCACCATCCCCTGGGACTTTGGCTACCAGCAAAGGAATGAGGAGAATACGACACCAATTCAAAACAAATGGTATATGTCAAATTCACAGGTTGCTAGATTTTGTCTAGTAACTGCTCTAGCTTAATTTTTGAGTGGGAGCAAGTCTAATGATAGAACACAGCAATTCTCCAGTCATTTAAACAAATAAATAAAATTAATCAGATGATAATTGCTTTTGAATTCAAAGCTACAGCAGGCACTGTGCCCCAGAACCTGGGAGCGCTGCACTGCTCCCGGCTCATTCATCACACCAGATTGCATAGGTGTTCCTGTCACTCAAGGAGCACTGGAAAGCAGCTATAAGCAATAAACACAAGCAATTTGTTTTCTTTCAAGACTATCATCTGGGCAATTGTGCTACAAACACAATTTAGGAAGCAAAAACCAAAACCCCACAGCAGACCCTTGAAGTATCAATTTCCTTTCGGTTTTTCCCCTTTTCATTTTCACTTGACTATTTCATGGAAGTCTTGATTCCATGGCTGTCCTGTGCAGCTCCAATTTGCTGGAAAACTTTGCATCACTGCAACTCTACTTCTAGACTCAGCATTATAAGTAAAACAGCCCATTACATCTGAACTATGTCACTACTACATTCCTCAAAGAGTATGATGCAGTGTAACAAGGCTAACACCTACCTACTTCTAAAACGTATATTTAATAAACTCTGGTTTGAATGATCATAGAATCATCAAGGTTGGAGAAGACCTCTAAGATCATTGAGTCCAGCCATTAACCTGCCACTCTGCTGTAACTCCTAAACCAGATCCTCCAGCACCAGACCCAGTGCTTCTTAAACACTTCCAGGGATGGTGACTCCACCACCTCCCTGGGCAATCTACTCCAGTGCCTGACCTGATGCAGCGCTGTGTTTTAAACACTAGCAAAAATGGGGAAATTTTCTATAGGTTTTTGTGGCTTTGGGGTTTTTCAGGTTTTTAGAAAGCAACTCTCTCAGTGGTGAAAAATTCCAATACACTCACCCTGTTTGTAACCCATGGGAACCCAATAACAAAATGACCTGGAGCTGGGGAGTGAAACCTCACCACTGCAGCTCACCCAGACTGACCTGAAAGGGTCCACGGAGGCCCAAAGGCAAGGTCTGCCAGCTTCCCTTGCTCTGCTAGATTTCAACTGCGGAGACAAAGCCCTAGAGACTAATCTAGCAAGGTAGAGACCAATTGACGAAGTCTTACTGATTTAAACCCCATGCAACCAAATTAATTGAGTAGCTTTAAATTTGCCTCCTGTGGATGCTTTGTGTTTTATTTGCACTGTTGATCAACTCAGGCAATGAGTAATTTCTAATTACTTGTCAAGGAATATGTAAGCAAGGCTGCATACATGTTTATTTTTTTCCTGAAAATTCATGTGTGTGTATGTCTCTTCAGAATGTAGTTAAAGTGATGGTTGCCTTTGTAATGGCACAAAGTTTAAGTGTCATTTCTCATGTCACATCTCATTTAAACTACCCATGATAAGTGACACACCAAAATGAACACTCACAATGACAACAAAATACATTGGGTTTTGAAATTACACATCATAGAGACCTAATTCTTTTAAAAAACCCAAAACAATCACTGGGATCTTTCCTACTAACTTCAGTGAGAATACAGTGAGGTTGCATATTAGCAGCAACAAGGTAATCACCTTTTTAACATTGTGAGTTCTCAACAAGAGTGGCTTGGAATAAAGAAAAATAAAAATTAAGCCATTCTCCTTCATAATTTCTCTTACCTATTACAGGGATGCAGATCACCATCCTCTCAGTGGCTAACAGCCAGAACTTCATTACGCAGCACTTCATACACAGCAAACAAAAAGGATGACCCCATCCTCAGCAAGCTGATAGCCAAAGCTGAGAAATGCTTTTTTTCCCACACTAACTCTCTTGCATAGATGAGCATCCAAAGAATGACAATATCACCTTCCCTCAGACTCCTGACTACAACACCCATTTGCAGTGATGTCTATAACACCCTGACAGTTGAGAACATGGTCACACGGGTCATGTCCTTGCTGAAGCTGACCACTATTAATTCATTGTTTCCATGTGTTTTCCCTTCTTCCATTTCAGTGATAGACACAATCTACATGCATTCAAGACACAGTAACAAGATGAGATTTGTAAAGACCAGTGTGGTGGCAACAGTCAAAACAAGTGATGAGAAGAGATAATTTTTGTCTATATGAATCCAGGGAGGGAAAAACAGTAAAAGAAAAAAAAAAGAGAAACAACAAAGTCCAGTTCTTGAAGTTAAGGAAAGGAAGAAAGCAAATTAATACACAATCTGTGCATGCAGAGTAGAACCCCGCTGAAAGATGTACAAGCTTCAAAGGCTTAGTGAAAGGAAGGACAATGGTTGTAACAGCAGGGCTTGAGAAAAGCAAGAATGTGGGACCTGAGGTTGAGGCAGAAAAGCAGAAGCAGCAGTGATGAAGCATGCTAGACAGAAACGAGCTGAACTGGGAGACAGTGGACCTGCCAAAGACCAGGGAGGAGATACGAAGGTGAGCATGGTTGACCAGATGGAGGATGCGCAAGGAGCTGCAATTTTAAGCTTCTGCAGGAACAGGACAGCAGAGGCACTGAGCTAGTCCATGCCTACTTTCAGTCTTGTTCCCTCTCAAAGGATGTGGAGTATCTGAAGGATGGAGGCTGCCACCCCAACCCCACAGCCATGCCAGAGAGCTGGGATGATGTGAAAAACCAGCATAGCAACAAAAACCTTGTTCATCATCAATAAAATCCCAAGTCAGCAACCACACTGCTAAGCTGGGACCCTTAAGACCAGAGAAAATCCCACTGGGCCCAAAGGGAGCCCACATGCAGGAGGGGCCCTGCAAATATCCACAGATTTCATTGCAAATGCACAGCATGGAACTTTACTTCACCCTGACAGGGAGGCAGTGCTCAGTCCCCTGTAGGGAATCCAGCAGACCGAGCCTCAGTGCCACTCACAGTGTGTGCCAGCACCAGAGCTGAGAAGGTAACCACAGAAATCCTGTCCCATGTCCTTCGGCACACTCTGCCATGCCCTGCTCAGTCTCTTCTGCATGCACCAAGCAGTCAAGCTTCAGAGGCCACAGTGGAAACACCAATCACGTCTCCAGCCGCCAGCATGCCCAGGCAGCCAGTTAACATCCCACCAGAGCCAAACCTCCTGCTCTTCTCCAGCTGACAGCACACCATCACAGCTGCTGAACTGCCAGAGCATTCACTATGGCTGCAGCACAACCAGCTCATCCCTGCCAAAGAAACTGGCCCAAAAATGATCCAGTGGCTCCAGTCACACACCACCACCAAAGTGCTTCAGTCACATTAGATGGCAATTCGGGTTTTGCACCCTGCTAAGTCCCAAACCGCTTGTCACCACGGTGGGGCAATGTGTAATCTGCATGTTTTAACTGTACAATTTCTCTGTTCTTGTACTACACAAAAATATCCTCCCTCCTGGAAGAGCCAGGATAACTATTATGCTTGTTGGTATTTCTACTTGAATTTGCTTCCTATTCACATGAAAGACGAAGAAGAGTGTGTTGACTCGCCAGACTGTGGTTTCTCTCGTTTGTGAGGCTGACTTATATGCTAGGCAGTAAAAATATAATCACATTTCTTCCTACTTTAGGATTCATTTCATCGTAACAGTACACCTACAGCTTGATTTTTTTACATTGCAATGCATCATTTCCCCAAATCTTTGCTAATTAATACACTGTGAAGCTAAGCTATGCTTCGCTTTCCATCTTAGATCTCTTGTCTTTCCTTCTCTATGAACCTTATTCACAGGGGGCAAGGCCTGGCCTCACCAAACGAGGCCTGGCAAACACGGAGGCAGGAAACGCAGGGGAGAATGAGTCTGTCAGACTCATTTTCTTCTAGGTTTTACTGCTGAATGTTTATTTCAGATCTGGGAGGAAGCACAGTGGCTCCATTCCATTTCCCTGCCTGCATAACCCACTCTGTCCAGAGCCCCTCAAATTCACTTTTCACTTTCACTGCATCAAGGAAATAAAAATGTTTCTAAAGTCACAAGACAAACTTGGATTTTTTTTGTTCCAGCCCTCACATTCTTTGGTTATTTACGTTGTCACCATATTCAATTTTATGGTTAGATCCTTATGCTATCGAAAAGCAAAATTCCTTGATGCTTTACTTTCCTTTGTTCTCTGTGTCACCCACTTTGCTCGGGGAAGCACTGTTTCTGCAGTGCACTGGCAGGTGAAGCTCCCTGTGCAGCCAAAACAACCCCCTTTGCAGCCATCCCACAAAACTCCCTCCACGCAGGCTCCGCAGAAAAACCCTCCACTTGGTCTCCTGAAATAATACAATTGATAAAGCCTGTCTGCTTTTCCACTTTCTCAAAGACATTTTTTGCTTTTCAGGAGAGAAGGGAGGAGTTTCCTTGGAATCTTCTGAGCACTCTGAGTGAATTGGCTTGCTCCAGGCACAGGGCTGCTACGCCTGCTTCACCGCTTTCCTCCTCCTGACAGTACTACTTGCAAATGCCAAACAGGGAACATTAAAACACTAAACTGAAAGATATTCTGATGAGTTTACTATTAAACGATAACAGATGGGGCTGTCCTAAGCTTTAGGCATCAGGAACGAAGCCCAATTTTAGATACAAATTAGTTATTGAGAATATTTATAGATGGTAAACTCCTTGAGCACATGGAGCAGCCCTGTGAAATTACAGTGCAAATTAATTGCTTGCCTTTCAACTGCTAGAGACACTTGGATGTATTGCCTTGTCTTTTCAGGAGAACTTCCAGTGCACTCCAGTAGTGGATGCAACCTCACCTCACAACACTGCAGAGCACCTAGCTGCTCCTCCTGAGCAGCACTGATTCCTGGCAGCAGGATGGCAAATGGAAATAAGGTGAGGAGAGATGGATGGGGGACCCATCACTGTGCCTCGACAAGTGCTTTCATCAATTAAACTCAAAAAAATATTTTGGTCTGAAAATAGTACTGGGTTCCCTGATGACAACAGCTTTGGATCTACTCGGTGTTCTGTTATTCACCAGCAAGTGAGAAATGGCACTCAACTGAATTTCAGAATAGCTATCTGCTCTTCTTCCAAAGAGTGAGGTGAATGCTACCTCTGGAAGAAAAAAATGTAAAGTATCATCTGAAGGGAGAAAGGGGACAAAAGAAGAAAATAACTAGGGAAAAGAAAGAGTGGCTGTAAAGGTCACTGTGAAACAAAACAGTTCCTCCTGAATATATTTTTCATTGAAACATAATATCAGAAAACTCTGCAGAGTCATGACTTTTTTTCACACAACATTGTATCAAATTAAAATTTGTTATAACCATCATGTACTTTAGGTTAGTGATAACAAAAATGTAACTCAATATCTGGCATAAGGAAAGAGCAAGCAACCTAAATATCCATGCAGTCATGTTAAAACTGAGCTGTGACACTACCGTTGGAAAACACCAAACCAAGCAGTTAGGTGTTGTGATCCTTCTCAAGTAAATATCTGACTGTATCAACCAGCAAATCTCGAAGGAAGTCTCTGTGATGAGGTAATTTTATTGCTCATTCATAGTGCCTTGTATGTGCTATACTTAAAATAGACACTTGTACCAATGGCCTTTTTATTATCCAAGGGAGTTGGAGGGGGGAAAGAAATCACACATACACCAGTCCTTTTTCTTTCTGCTAGCAAAGGGAGGCAATTTGATCCAACGTGGGCTGAAACCTGAGTAGGTCACTATACACCATGATAAAATTCCCTAATCCCTGAGCCAAATTTCCCTGAGGGGGCCCTCCTACTTCTCCTTCACTTTCCAAGCTGACTTTTCCATTCCCTCTCTCGTCTTTTCCTCCCCTTCATCTCTTTCATTTCCCCTACCTTAAAGCCTTGATATCTGATCTGCTGCTGATACTCGGGTTACAGTTTTTACAGCTTAGGCTGTCTATTGCTGTATACATTCCTTTCTTTCTGCTCTGCCGTGATTACTTACCAGAGCTTATTTTACACTGGTCCAGATGAAAGCAGTTCAGATGAAGGGAAACAGTCAGCCTGTTTGAACATTACAGATACGAACCTACACAAGGGCACATTGTGCTGCCTCTGTCATTTCGCTGCAAACATTTTGCACACTGTAACCAATTTGTTACATTATTATATTCCTTGGGTTCATGAAGAATAACTAGACATCTTGATTCGTCGGGAAAGAAAGAGGGCAAATGAACGCCACAGGATTTTAACTTTCTCAACTAGTCAAAAACTCACACCACTTTTTCCCCCCCCCCTTTCCCCTTCTTAGATGATAGCAGCCAACTGTCCTACTAAAAATTCATAGCATATGTAGCATAGTTTACACTGAAAGGTGGGCTATGAAAGGTTCTGCCATCAGCTGTCTGACTCTCAACCAGATATCACATCAGTTCAAAATGCCACTTCTACCCACCTTTAGCTTTTAAGTCACAGCTAAAATCTTGGGGTTCCTCACCTTAAGCAGCTAACCACGATTAAAAGAAGAGGAACCCTCTACACGAAGGTTAATGCCAGTGCTTTATACCAAAGCATTAGTTTAAAATTGTGTAATTTTTCTCCTTCACACAATGTTGTTTTTGTTTCTTCCTCACCCTTTCAGACAAACATCTGTTATACTGTAGAAGAACAACTATCTCCCAAACCGCTGAGTGTGCCTGCAGCCAAAGTAAACAAAACAAACCCAGAGGATCCAGCACAGTCAGCCTTTATATCCAGCCAGGATAACATTTCACATGTTTTGATTAAAATTAGCTAATTTGTAATTCTAGAACCTATGAAACTTAAAAGCTGCAATCCATATAGATCGCATTAGGCGATGCTCTGAGGGGCCAAAGCCCTGTACTACAGACCTCTGCAGTCCTCAAAACTATGCAGGATTACAATGAGCAGTGACTCTCCGGTGCCTGCACAGAGCCCTCTCTGAAAATAGGATGTGTCATATATCTCGCAAAGAATAATACCCCTCCTTGGGACTTGAAACTGCTACAGTTTGTTTCCAAAGAGATGCACCGAGACGTTTTTTTGTTCATTCCCCTAATACTACTCTTGTCCACATTTCCAGCTGATGTACACGCTCATTACGCAGGCAGCAGGAGCAAGAATGCTTGTCTTGGGCAGGAAAGGGCACCTAGCTGAAATTAGTGGTGTGCAAAAGAGGGGAGAGGGGAGGGGACTGTGCATTCCCGTTTAATCTTGTGTGGGGAGATCAATGTACCGGAAAGCAAAGATATTTTCACTAGGCATCATGCATATTTATATACTCCCCTATATAGTATACGTACTATGCGAACGTGTGACATTTTCCAGGCAGTCTTCCACTTACAGCCAGCCTTTTTAATAAACGACATATTCAAATTCAATCTCAGCAGCTTTATCTCGTAACCAGACTATGCTGTTCTAGTCACTTTATCCGCGCATTTAACAACAACAACAACAAGTTCAGCTGAAGTCTCACAATACATTGTTACCAACTTCGGGGCATCAGAGACGTAAAACAAACAGACACGGAACAGACGTGGAAAACAGGCGCAAAAAAAAAAATAAAATAGGACCGGTCAAGCCTGGAGCAGCGACCTAATGATAAAAGGAGTCCTAAAATAAGGGTTTTGTGCGGTCGCAGCCACCCTAACATCTGGAGCGGCCGCCGGAGCACAGCTGTTCCGACCGGGCGGGACAGCTCTCCGCTCGGCAAACGCACTCCCAGGCAAAGCAGCTCTCGGACAAGACACACCGAGCGACACCTCTGCGCTGCCCAGAGCCGCGGAACGAAGCGCCACAGCAGAGCAGGAGGCGAGAGGGAGGAGGAGAGAAAAGGGGTCTCCGCGCACAACTGCGAGAACGATGCGAGAGGCTCAGACCGCAACGTTTCACTTTGACAATTTAATTACACAGTTGCAGCTGGCTACCGAAAAAGGAGAGAAATACAATGTTTAAAAGAGGTCCCTTTCTTTCCTAACTTTAAGGGCTTCCCGGCTAGCTGAGGGGATGGCTACAGAAAGAAAGAAAAGGGAGGGGGGGAGAAAAGCCTCATCACTGGCACCCGAGAGGAGCTTAGGAGCCCAACGGGGGAGAGTTATTTTTAAAAAATAAATAAAGCCGGTCAATGAACAGGATTTGCAGCCTGTGAATTCGTCTCTGTTTGCAGCCCAGGAGGCGGAGTTGAGACACATTCAGTGCATCCTACAAAAAAAAATGACAAGAGATCCTTTCTTATTCCATCTCCACGCTCGGAGGCGGCGGCGCGGGGGGGACACCCCGCTCCCGTCCCCATCGCGGGCACCCACCTTCATCTCCTCGTTGATCTCCCGCTTCACCGGGTGCGCCGGCTTCCTGCTCCTTTTATTTTCGGGAGGTCTCCCTTCTTTCTCCATTTCTGCCATTTTTTGCGCCTACTCGGTGCCGGAGATGAAATGGCTGCTGGTGCT